CCCCCACCCCCCGCCACCCCCACCTCCTCCGCCACTGCCCCCTCTAGCTCCACCCGCTCCCTTGCCCCCTTGCCCTTGCCAGAGCGGCGTCTACTGCTGGGGGCAGACGCCGCACCGACCGACTCAAAAAACCAGCGAGGTCGGCCCGCAGCGGCAGAGGCGACAGAGGGCAGCAGGGGGGAAGAGAACACCCCTCAAAGATGGGGGTGCGAGGGTCACCCCGAGAGGCCCCTACATAATCTACTATGCTCTTCTCAGCCGCTAGCAGGACTCCTCAAGGAGGTCGACATGAGGGTGGTGGACAGCAGAGAGAAACTGGTCCCTAACGACACGGAGGGACTCAGGAAGACGGGTGACAAGAAAGTAGAGAGTGATGTACATGGAGGAGGGTTTGCGTCGCTGAACTCAGCAGGAGGGCAGCGCGGTAGCGAGCGTCACTAGCGCGGAGGTGGGTAATGAGGTCAGCGACAGTGGGAAAGGCAGCGAGGTCAGGAATAGAAAAAGTAGCATGAGGCGGCTCAGCGTAGCGAGGAAGGGAGGAGTAGCGTGCAACTACAAAGCGTCGTACAAGGCCTGAGCGGTCTTGCACTGACTAAAGTGGGTACGCTCGGAGGAAGGGAGGTGGCGACGCACAGCAAGACGTGCAGCAGCATCGCGGGTCGCCCACTTGGAGCGAACGGCGGAATCAGCATCAGGAGGAGGGGCAGGGACAGCGCCAGAGACAAAGTCAAAGAGAGAGACCTCATCGACCGCATCACACAGTAAGTACAGCTGCAGGTCCTCAATTCCAGACTGCAAAGTCAATGGCTCTCCCTCAGCGTCAAAGCTAGGACATTGGGGTGGCCATGACAGCACTGACAGTACAGTCTTCACCGGGCAGGAAGAGTCGGGTAGGTCAGCGGCGCAGGTACACAGCCCGAAGCAGCAGTAGCCCGACAGGAGCAGGAGAGCAGCTCCTCTGGCGGCTCGGGGTAGCTCGGGCGGCTCGGGCGGCTCGGGCGGCTCGGCGGCGCGGGCGGCTCGGGCGCTAGGGCGGCTCGAGCGGCTCGGGTGGCTAGGGCGGGCGCGGCGGCCCGGGCGGCTCGGGCGGCTAAGGCGGCTCGGGCGGCGGCACGGGCGGCTGGGGCAGCTCGTTGGCGGCTCCACGCGGCTGGGAACGGCGCGCGGGGAGCTCACGGGCGGCTGGGCAGGCGGCCAGGGCGGCTCACGGGCGGCGGCGGCGGCGTCGGCGGCTCACGGGCGACGGCGGCTCACGGGCGGCGGCGGCGGCGTCGGTGCTCACGGGCTGGCGCGGCGGCGTCGGCGGCTCACGGGCGACGGCAGCGGCAGCGGCGTCGGCGGCTCACTAGGCGGCTCGGCGGCGTCGGCGGCTCACGGTGTGGCGGTCGGCGTCGGCTGCTCACGGGGCGGCGTCGGCAGCTCACGGGCGGGCTGAAGGCCACGGGTGGGCGGTTCGCGGGCAGCGCCGGCTCACGGGCGCGGCGGCGTGACGGGCGGGCGGCGGGACGGGCGGCGGCGTCACGGGGGGGGAGCGACAGACGGGCGGCGGCGTCACGGGCGGCGGCGTCACGGGCGGCGGTTCACGGGCGGCTGCGTCACGGGCGGCGCTCACGGGCGGCGCTAAAGGGTGGCGACGGGCGGCGGCTCACGGGCGGCGCTACGGGCGGCGGCTCACAGGGGGCGCTACGGGCGGCCCGCAACGGGCGGCGCTAACGGGCGGCCGCACGGGCGGCGCTACGGGCTGCGCAAAGGGCGGCGCGAACGGGCAGCCGCACGGGCGGCGCTAACGAGCGGCGCTAACGGGCGGCGCGAACGGGCGGTTCGAAAGGGCGGGCGCTAGGGGCCGGCACTAGGGCGGGGCGCCAGGGGCAGAAAAAAAAAGTTCTAGGTGGTGGGCCCGAAGCACAGTTCCCACAGGGGAACCTGCTCTGATTCCATGTGAAGAAGTGAACGAGAGAATGTGTGAACTATGAACGAAGTGAGTACAAATAGGAAACCCTAGCTGGGTTTGTACCCCCTATGGGATACCCACTATAGCCTACACAAATAAGTAAGCTATAATGTTCTGACAGACCCTCCATTCAGCCATTGCATTTTCATAATTTGCAAATTTGTTTGAAAGCACGCTTCGAATGGGGGGGGGGGGGTTGGAGCGGGAAGGCCTTGTACGATGTTTGGGGGAAAACGTTGCTAGCAATAATACTGCACTGAGCCAAAAGTGTGGCTTAAATGGTTAGTGTTGGAATGAATCCTTCAATGATCGTTTAAAGATCGTAACAGTCTTGGGTAATGTAGACTTGTATTCGTAACGAAGTTGTAATAGAATGATTGTTGACAAAAACTTGATAATAGAACGCATTATAAGAGAAGATATAGCTAGGCGAAAATACATGTTCGCTTACGTTCGCTAACGTAGCTTCTCATTACATAAACAGATTGTACCCTTTCGCTATAGTATAGCCCTGTTTACTAGCGTCAGCGTGTTATGAAAAGTGAAATGAGAAAAAGCATTGTGCACTCGTAACCGCAGCAAGCGAATCACACAATGCCGAGGATGAATGTGAAGGGGCAGAGTGACGCGAAGAGTCGTGTGCGATTATGAAGCATCTGGACTGTCAGGGCAAACAGCATCAAGCCAAGGAAGACACAGGGAACAGTATGGGGGGACAAGCTTGTCCGCAGACAAGTCGCGGACAAACGCCCGAGACCCCCAGACCCGAAACGCAGACGCATCGCCAACCTTCCCTGTCCACCGCAAGGCGGGGGAGGTCTCTGGCAAGGAGACCCGGGGCTGAAGGTTGAGCTGATGCGCGGCGTACTGAACCGCAAACGGCCACAGAAAATGGGGGGCAGCCGCATGCATCATGGACGTACCAGCGACGTCCATGACCATGCCAATGCGGCGATCAGCAATCCCATTTTACTGTGGAGAGGCCGGAAGCGTGAAGGTCTGGCGGATGCCCTGTGCACGACACAAGGCTCCCAGACGGGCAGGGGAAAACTCCTCGCCTCTGTCCGAGTGCAAACGCAGAACAGGAAAGTCCGAGCCGAAGCTCTCCCGGAGCTGGAGACGAGCTGCGCGGATCCAGTCAATCAACACCTCAGTGACGTCACCTTTGCTGCGCAAGGGGAAAGACTATGGTGTAACGCGAGTAGTCGTCAACCACTAGCAGGAAGTACCGGATGGCGCCCTTGCCCACTGACGCGGGCGGGGCCCCACACGTCCATGTGGAGAGTCTGCAGTGGAGCCTCTGTCGGAGGAAACTCGGAGGAGTGAGGGGCGGCGCGCTGTCGCCCCTCGACGCAGGGGACGCAGGTAGGGCCTGGCCCAAGAGGTAGGGGAGGGAGAGACCGAGGGAGACCAGAGACAAGGACACGGGAGGCCATGCCTCGGAGACGAGGCAAGGAGGGGTGACCAAGGCGGTGGTTCCAAAGGAGAGTGTGGGTGGGACAAAAGATGACACGAGCAGGGAGCAGACTCAGGACCAGACCTGGACGCTGCAGCAAACACCTGACTCGACGCAGCTACCTGGACAGACTCAGCAGCCGGAGGAGACTCAGTAGTAAGGGTGTACAGGCTCGACCCTGGCCGACGGGTGAACGTGGCCAAGTGTCGGCCTGTCCGAGCACACGTGCAGTGGGTCACTCGCTGACTCGCAGGAGTGAACTGGTCAACCCCCCTATCGTGTAGGTCCGCTCCACTCACCAAGTTCGTAGAGAACGAGGGGAGGTAGAGACCTGACAGGGTGCCACAGGGGGCTGCCGGGCATGATAAGACAGTGGAGACGCTAGCAAGGACAGGGAACCCAGAGGGGTCTGCCAGGGAGACTGCAACCGGCAGACTAAGCGGCGTAAGAGTGGTGCGGTCTCGAAAGAAGGAGCGGGACGCACCCGAGTCAAGGGTAAAGGTGTGTAAGGTCTGAGCCGACGTAGTACCTGAGAGTGCAAACTCACCAGTACCTGGGGTAGCACACGCACTAGCACCTGGGGCAGCTGACGCACTAGCACCTAGAGCAGTAGCCTCACCAGCACCTAGAGCAGTAGCCTCAATACCTGGGTCAGGCGGTACACACAGGTAACAGTCAACCACAACACTATCATCAACAGCATACATGGCAGCAAGAAAAGCATCTAAGTCAAGATCAAAGATAGCAACCCCCGCCCTAGACAGATCTCCCCAGCGAGGGATCTCAGAGGCCCAAGGGAACTGGTGATGCTACGCGTCCGTCAGGCGGCCGAAGCAGTGCTGGGTGGGTTGCGGGCCCCCGCACTGCTTACCAGCGCGGTCGCCGGTGCGGAGAACGTAGGTGCAGGGACCCGTACCCCCACCGCGCTGACGCAGAGCGTACCACTCACGAAGCTGCTGAGGGGACAGGGTCTCACGACTGCTCTGTTGCTGCTGGCGCGAACCACCACCGGAGCCACCCCTCTGCGCAGAGCCGCGACCAGGTCCACTGCTCCCGCCGCTGCCTCCGCCGCCTCCTCCACCTCCGCCTCCTCCGCCACCTCCGCCGCCTCCGCTCCCTCCGCCACCTTTGCCGCCTCCTCCGACTCCACTACTGCCGCCGCCGCCGCCACCCCCGCCACCACTCCCACCACCACCCCCACCCCCTCCACTGCCTCCACCACCACCTCCACCGCCCCTGCCAGCCCCTCTAGCGCCCTTGCCCCCCTTGCCCTTGCCGGTGCAGCGTCTCCCGCTCGGGGTAGACGCAGCGCCGACCGACTCGAAACCAACAAGTTCGGCCACAGCAGCAGAGGCAATAGAGGGCAAGAGGGAGGAGGGAGAACACCCCTAAAAGACGGGGGTGCGAGGGTCACCAGAGAGGCTCCTGAAGCAACTATGCACTTCTCTGCCACTAGGAGGGCCTTCTCGAGGAGGTCAACAGTGAGAGTGGTGGGGCAAACTGAGAGGAAGTGGTCCCTGACTACGCGGAGAGAGTCAGGGAGCCGGGTGACTATATAGTAGAGTGTGATGTACATGAGGGGGGGGTTCCTGGCGCAGAACTCAGCAGGAAGCGCAGCGCGGTAGCGAGTGTCACTAGTGCGGAGGTGCGTAATGAGGTCAGCGACTGTGGGAAAGGCAGCAAGGTTAGGGAAGAGGTACGGTAGCATGAGGCGGCTCAGTGCAGCAGTGGCAGGGGAAGAGTAGCGTGCAACTACAGCGTCGTACAAGGTCTGAGCACTCTTGTACTGGCTAAAGTGTGCAGGCTCAGTGGTCGGTAAGTGGCGACGAATGGCAAGGCGAGCAGCAGCATTGCGTGTGGCCCACTGTGAGCGAACAGTGTTGTCAGCAGTAGCAGGCGGGGCAGGAGAGACACCAGAGGTGAGATCGAACAGAGAGAGTCCGTCTGCCCTATCGCACTGGAGAAACAGCTGGAGGTCATCGACCCAGACCTCAAAGTCAACGGCACAGCCCTCAGCATCAAAAGTGAGGACACTGGGGGTAGCCATGACTGCAGTGGCCTAGGAGGAAGGGAGCTCACCAGTCCGAGGAAGGAGGGGCCGGGGAGCACCGGTAGGAACAGCAGCTGCTAGACAGATGGGCGGCTCGGCGGCTCGGCGGCAGGGCGGCTCGGCTGCTGGGCGGCTCAGCTGTAGGGCGGCTCGGCTGCTGGGCGGCTCGGCGGCAGGGTGGCTCAGCTGCTGGGCGGCTCAGCTTCTTGGCGGCTCGGCTGCTGGGCGGCTCGGCTGTTCGGTAGGTGGGCGGCTCGGGTGCTGTGCTGCTCGGCGGCTCGGTCGCTGGGCGGCAGAGCGGTGATAGGGCCGCTAGGGGAGGGCGACGGGGCCGCGGGTGACGGCGACAGGGCCGTAGGTGGCGGTGCCGGGGCCGAAGGTGGCGGCGGGGCCGCAGGTGGCGGCGGTGTGGCCGTAGGTTTCGGTGACGTGGCTGCAGGTGGTGGCGACTGGGCCGCAGGTGGCCGCGACGGGGCCGCGGAGGGGCCTAGACGGGGCCGAGAGGGGCCTAGGCGGGGCCGAAAGGGGCCTAGCCGGGGCCGAAAGGGGCCTAGATGGGGCCGAAAGGGGGCCTAGACGGGGCCGCGGAGGGGTCTAGACGGGGCCGCAAGGGGCCTAGACGGGGCCGCAGAGTGGCCTAGACGGGGCCGTAAGGGGCCTAGACGGGGCCGCGGAGGGGCTTAAACGGGGCCGTAAGGGCCCTAGACGGGGCCGCGGAGGTGCCTAGACGGGGCCGCGGAGGGGCCGTAAGGGGCCTAGGCGGGGCCGTAAGGGGCCGTAAGGGTGGCGCGAAGGGCCTTAGAGGGCGGCCAAAGGGGGCCGTGAGAGGGGCCACTAAGGGGGACTCGAGGGTAGGTAGGGCACACGAAGCGCGACTCGGGCAGGAGTGAAGCGCGCTCCGAGAAGGAAAAATTCGTGGTGGGCCCTAGGTAGCGTTCCCACTAGGGAACCTGCTCGATACCATGATGAGAAACAAGGATGAATGAACTATGAAAGAGTTGGGTACAAGTACTAACCCTAATTGGGTTGTACCCCTTATGGGCTACCCCACTACAGCCTACACAAATGTATAAGCTATAATGTTCTGACAGATATAGCTAGGCGAAAATACACGTTCGCTTATGTTCGCTAACGTAGCTTCTCATTACATAAACAGATTGTACCCTTTCGCTACAGTATAGCCCTGTTCGCTGACGTCAGCGTGTTACGAAAAGTGAAATGAGAAAAAGCATTGTGCACTCCTAACCGCAGCAAGCGAATCACACACTGCCGAGGATGAATGTGAAGGGGCAGAGTGACGCAAAGAGTCGTGTGCGGTTATGAAGCATCTGGACCGTCAGAGAAAACAGCATCAGGCAGTAGTGGCGAGGATTCAGCCCGAATAGTTTCGTAACCATCTGGGGTCACACGGTTGGATTTCGCTGCAGTAAGGGAATGCACCCCTCAGAGTAATCTTCACCCCACGACTTGGGAATCCTTCGCACTGCCACCTCCGAAATCTTCGGTGATCGAAAGGTGGCGTACGGCACACGCTCGCACGTAAGGATGGCCGAAGGATCTGGTGGTCAGACGAATCTGACCACTGAAGCGCAGCCCAACCCGGCTGAGACAAATGAGGAAACAACGATGATTGGAACCACCGTCCTCACACAACTGCTGCGACTCACCAGCTTGGAGCAAGGACTCCAAACATTGCGGAATGGCGACGCGGGAACATCTTCCCAACCATCTCAACAAGCCTCGAATGGCCATAACACCGCCTCGCAAACCTTCCCTGTCAACACAAATGGCTCAACTCCCAAGACTCCCCGTCCCAACAAAGAAGCAATCCTCTTTGCACAATCAAGGTTCCTGAGCATATCAAAAATAAAGACAAGTGTGTGCTTTGACCAGAGACTTCTATACGTCGAGCTTCGAGCTGGAGCTGCTGCTACAAAACGCAGAGATGTTCCACTACTTTGACGGGAGCTACGCGGGACCAGCTGAAGATACCGCCGACTCTAGGGCGCAGTACTACAACAAATCGTTGATGGCGTATGGCATCCTGCTGCGAAATATGTCGCCGGCGGAGCAGCTGGGCATTCGTTCGTACAAGACAGCGTCAGCTCCAGCCCTCGACGCCTTGCGACACCTGAACGGCGTGCACCAACCGAAAGGTTCGGTTTCGTCAAGCCACTTGCTCCAGCAGCTACTCGCGACAAAAATGGCCCCAGGGGAGAAGCCAACAGCTACAATAATCTCTCTCAAAGCTTACGCGATCAAATCGCGAAATTGGGAAGCAGCATTTCCGAAGAAATCTTCGTGAGCATCATGCTTCAAGGGCTCGGCCCAGACTGGGCAGCCCAACAAGGCGCTTCTCAGACAGCAGGGGGTTATCTCGGAAGCCGCCCTATGCACAATCCTCCTTGTCGAACAGAGAGACATGGACCAGCAGCGACTAGTGCCGCGACGAGACCTGGAACGCCTCACCTTCGACGCATATAGCACAGAATGGCAACGGCCGCGGGGCCTTTACTGCAAAATCTGCACTTGGCACTTGGCAGATCGATGTAAGTTCCGATCTCGTCCTCGCCAAACCAATCCAAGCACCTGGTCCGGCCATCAAGATGCACGAAACGAGACGTGTCAAGCCCAGGGGTACCAACCCCCATCGCGCAACTTGAACCCAGCGATTCAGCATCAGCAAAAGCAGCCGTCAAAGCCTACTCCCGCACGCAATGTCATTGGTAGCATGACCATGACAGAAACGAGCGGATCGCGCCGCCGCCGTGTGCGTACACCATCACCAGAGCCAGCACGCCACCCAATCAGAGCGTTCACGGTGTCAGAATGTTATAATTGTCTAGCCTCCAGTGGGGTACTCTATAACGAGTACAACCCAATTAGGGTTTCCTATATGTATGCCAACTGCTGCTAGTGCAACCTCTCTTCTTCATTCCTCATTCTTCACATGCTATCAGAGCATCTACGCTCCTGGCCTGTGGGCCCACCTAACTGCTTCCGCTGCTACTCTGTATGTTGCACGCCCTTTGGCGTGTGACGGACATTTTTTTCTTCCCCTCCTAGAGGCCCCTCTCACGGCCCCTCGCGCGACCCTTAGCGGCCCCGTCGCCACCCCTAGCGGCCTCATCGCCGCCCTTCTCGGCCCCTCGAGGCCCCTTCGCGGCCCCGTCGCTGCCTCTAGCGGCCCGTCGCTGCCCTTCCAGGCCCCTCGCGGCCCCTTTGCGGCCCCGTCGCCGCCCCTATCGGCCCCGTCGCCGCCACCAGCGGCCCCGTCGCCGTCCCTAGCGGCCCCGTCGCCGCCCCTATCGGCCCCGTCGCCGCCTCCAGCGGCCCCGTCGCCGCCACTTGCGGCCCCGTCGCTTCCCCTTTCTGCCCTGCCTCGACCCTGCCCCGGCCCCGCCCCGGCCATGCTCCATCGCCTATCGCGGCGCACCGGGGGCCCGTGCACCCCCCCCCCCCCCCCCCCCCCCCCGACCCCCTCTTTTCCCGTCGCCTGTCGAGGCGACCTGAGGGGGCCGGGGGGGGGGGGGGGGGCGCGAGCGTCGCCCCTTCTGCCGCCTGTTTTGGCGTCCTGGGAGGCCGCGCGTCGGCCCCCCCCTCCCCCCCCCCCCCCCCGTAACCTCCCTACCCACCGTCCCGCCCTGCCCTGTGTTAGGGTCTGGGGTGGCGAGTAGGGGGTGGCGGGTGTGTGGTCTCCCCTACTCCTCCTCCTCCTCTGTCTCCCACTGCTGCAGCTGCCGCTGAGGGGGGTGGGTGTGTGGGAGTCGACGGAGTGGTGCTAGGGGGTGGGGTGTGAGTGAGCCTAGGGTGCAGCAAGGGGTGTGTGAAAAGGGAGGTGACGTGGGAGTGGAGCTAGGGGTGTAGCAAGGAGTGTGTGAAAGGGGGGTGGGACAGTTGGGGGAGGTTGAACGGAGGCTGTCGTCGTGTCGTCAGCAGCATCAGTAGTCCGGGGCGCTGCTCCGGTAGCCCAGTCGTAGCCACCTGCACCAGTCGCCCGTGGTTCCGTTGCTCCTGCCGCTCGTCTTAGCCGCGGAACCAGTTACTAGTAGTCCGAGGCGTTGTTCCGGTAGTCGCTGTGCCAGTGTGACTCCTGTTGCCCGTGTGTCTGCAGCTTCAGCCGTCGCCTCCTATCTCCTCTCCTCTTACAGTCTCGCCTCCCCCTCACTTGCCCTTTGTGAATGCCTCTAGCTTTGCTTGTCCTTGTGAACCTGCTCTATGCCTGCTTGCTCATTGTGCTGATTACACCCTACTTTGGCTATGGGGGTGTGTCAGAATGTTATAATTGTCTAGCCTGCAGTGGGGTACTCTATAGCGAGTACAGCCCATTTAGGGTTTCCTATAAGTATGCCAACTGCTGCTAGCACAACCTCTCTTCTTCATTCCTCAATTTTTTCACCCACGGATAACAATCCGTTCACTACCTGCCAAGATTTTAGCGACAACGACAATCAGGACTGGAATCTCCCAGTCCTACTGCTTGAAAGTCCCCCGCACGTATCTGATTCGTGGGTGGCACCGATCGATTGGATCTCGCACGAGCAATTTCTGAAATTTGACACACTGCACATCGTCACGCTGCGATTGGTGCTGCTCGGACGTGACTACAACAAGCGCTGCAACACTTGGTACCTGGACAGCTGTTGCGCATATGGTTGGATCCGAGCGTTTCGTCTACAACGCCGTCTCGACCTCAACAGTCACCTACGTCACCGTGGCCAACAATACCCGCCTGCGCACAAGCGCGCAAGAAATCGTCGTGCTCAAGGCACGATGAAACCACACGCACATCACGCTTAAAGATGTGCTCATAGTCCAGAACATGCGCTTCAACCTTCTCTCCGCCACTCAACTCATGGATTGCGGCGTCGAATTGAGCACGGTTCCACGCACACGTGATATACTTTTGCACTACTCATCGCTGACAAAACGCGCAGGCAGATCGGACGAGCACACTCCGAAAATGGAGTGTCCATCTTTGACTTCGACATTCTCGACTGCAGCGGCAACTCGAACGAGCTAATTGATCTCGTTCCACTGCGCTTCGAGCACATCCACCGTCCTGACTGGAAACACCCTGACGGAAGACCGTGGGTGCCACATCACCCTCACCTACGTGAGCTGGCGCTGCATGACCCTGATCCAGACGGGATTTGCAGGGACTGCCACACGCCCACCGCCTCAACAATCGCAATTGCCGGCCGCGGCCTCGCCGCCATCACTGAAGCTCAGCGACACACGCCACATGAAGAAGGCATGACGGCACTTGAGCTCGAAGTGGAAACAGAACGAGTCTTCGGTCCGCCAAATCCGGAGCCTGGACAGGCACTTCCCAGCACACCAGCTGAGCGGCCCGAAAGCATCCTACGGGAACGACGCCACGGCACCTTCAACGACCGCGGAGTGGTGCTCCCCTACACGAACGAGGAGTTCCTGAAGGTTTACCCCCACTGGCGCGACCCCACGATGAAGCTTACCGTGGAACAGGAAGAAGAATTGGCGCGCTGCGAAGCAGTGGAGCTTCGCCGAAAGAGCATCGCCGAGGCACTCGGCACATTCTCATGCGCCGCATGGGGCGCAGAGGAAGAAGATAGAGCCTCAAATGAAGGGGGGTGGGGAAGCGCTGGTGGATGGGGAACGAACTACATCGGAGGATGGGGCAACATCGGCGGCACCTGGGCTGACGCCGGCGGCGGCTGGGGCGCCGCATTTGGCGGCGAAGGCAGGGGATGGGGCACTTCTGGCGGCAGCTGGGGAACGTCCCGCGAAGAACAAAGGGGGGAAGCTGAAGGTGAAACAGAACCTCCTGTTGTTCCCCTCGATCGTCCCCCGTGCCTCCCTGCACCCGCGCTACCTTCCCCTGACGTCTAGCCGCACTGCGATCCCTAGGAAACCAACGATTGGGGCAACGAACCATCGCCCCCATGTCGCACAGCCTTCGGACCTGACCTCGAGCCGCGCGAACCCACCTTCTTCCCCGGAACGGTTCCCGGAACCAACATTTCTCTCTCCGTTATTCTCGATAGAGAATTCTTGGCACTGATGCTGACGACTCTAAACGACAAAGAAGAAACTGAAGAGGCAACAACGGAACCTGCCGCAGTACCTGACGAGGACCCCGAAGCAGCACGCGCACGCTACATGCGCACCTCTGGATTCCGCGCCAACAATGACCTTTGGCTCCAGCGCCTCTGTCACCCCTCGCGCGTGACACTGAAGAATTGCATCGAGGCGAGCGTATTTGCGCCTGGGGCACTCCTGCGCCCTGATGGCACTGAATTGAGAAGCACAACCCAGCCGCGTAATTGCACCGTCTGCCCCGAAGCTGCTCTAAGCCACCAGCCATTCCCCTTGCTTGAGCCAGGAACTAATCGCTACCCAAAACTGCACAGGGTGTACAGTGCCTTTCTCATTGTTGGCCACTTCAGGCTCAACGTCGAGCAGTACAAACTCACATTCGTTGACGCTGGAACCCGCTACGTGTGGGTAGTCAACGTCGAACTCCGACGTAGGGCGTATGAGGCCTTTTGTCTCTGGCTGGCGCACGCGCAACGTCAATCTGGGGAAAAGCTGAAAATCTGCCAGACACACGACGCAGCGGAGTTTAGGAGCAAAGAGTTGTAGGATTACTTGGTGTAGAAAGGAATCGAGCATCACATTTCCCTACCCTACGCGCACTAGCAGCAAGGCGTAGCTGAACAAACGAACCGCACACTCATGACAAAGGTGCGAGTGCTACTTAAGCCATCAAAGCTTTCGCCGACATACTGGACTTACGGGATGCACCACGCCGTGCACAACCTGCTTTCAACCACCGCCATAACCGGCAACCTCTCCCCGCACCTGAAGTGGACGGGCACAAAGGGCGACACATCCATGCTCCACGTTTGGGGATGCATGGTGCAGTATCGCGTGCCAACATCAACTATCGGGAAATTCACAAGCCATGCGCGCTGGGGAATCCACCTCGGCATCAGCCACGAATACAAGGTGTGGCCCATCCTTGACCTCATCAGCCCGAAGGTCACGAATGCGCGTGACGTCATTTTCTACGAGCGGCTTTTCCTCGAGAAATTCTGTGAAGACGAGCGGACAAACGCAAATCACGTCTATGCCAACGACGGGCATAGCTACGTCACACCCGAAGACAAAGCCGCTGCAGCCATCCTCGAGTAAGACACCGGGGGCGAATTCGCAAGAGGCGATCGCCACAGCAGCGATGACGATGACGAAGACTCCCCTAGAGGAGGAGTTGGCGGAGCAGGAGGAAGTAGCAGAGACGCAGCACCGCCAGCACCACCTGAACCGGAGAGCGACGACGACGACGGGCAGGAAGTAATTCCGCAACATCGCCACGACAGCATTGTCTCGGGACTGCAGCCTCTCGGGCTCCACACCGCCACCTCAACCGTGCCACGTGTCATCGAGCCCAAGAACCCATGCCAAGCCCTCTCAGGACCACACATCAAGGAATGGCGCAAGGTAATGGACGCAGAGATCAAGGCGCTCGAGTCCCGCGACACTTGGGTGCTCGTCGATCGCGTCGTAATTAAGGGGGAAAGGATTCTCTCTAGCAAATGGGTCTCCCGCGTGAAGACCGCAGAAGACTGCATGATCAAGTGATTTAAGGCACGTGGGGTTGTGCGCGGCTATGATAAGAGGCACGGCATTGACTTTGACCAGACGTTTGCGAGTCATATGACCCCACGGGCAGATTTGCTTGATGAGGTAAGACCTCCTGGGAAGATCAAGTTTGTGGCTGCCGCTTCAGGTGCTTTGCTCCCTGTGATTGGTGTTGGGAATGCCAAGGTGATGGGAGCCAATGGAGAGCTTGTGGGGCTTGGGAATGTGCTGTTGGTTGAAGGTTTGTCCGCTAACCTTCTTTCTGTGCGCCGGCTGCAGAAGAGCAAGGCTGACGTTACCTTCGGCCCAACCAGCTGCCGTGCAAAGCTTGGGAAGTTGCTGCTGTGGAACTTGGAGGAGAAGAGCAGCTGCATCAAGGACCTATGGCAGCTGCCCATCATCATCCATTGGAAGGGGAAACCACCAGCAACGGCAAAGGCAGCGGCAGCGGCTAAAGCAACTGCGGGAGGAGAGGAGACTGCACCAACTGCAGGGGCCCTGGATGCAGTCAAGAAGGTGCAGCAGTCACAGCAACCACATGGTGAGGTGCTTGCTGGTGTGAATGCGACAGCTGCATGGGCAAAGGCTTCATCTGGGAGTGGTGAGGCCGATTGGGAGACGTGGCACGAGAGGATGTGTCACATCAACATCCCTATGCTGCAAAAGTTAGTGAAGGATGGGTGCTTGAAGGGGCTGGAGGTGAAGGGGGCAGCAAAGGAGATTGGGGGCTGCCCTACATGCCTTGAGACCAAGTTCACGAAGTTTCCCTTCAGCAGCAGCACAGGACCAGCCAAGGCGCCACTTGCACTTGTGCACATGGACGTGGTGGGCCCCACGAGGGTCCCTTCTCTCTCGGGCAGCCGCTATTTCCTGACCATTGTGGACGATCACACACGTGCAGTGTGGGTCTACCCTCTAAAGACTAAGGGGGAGGTGGCAGCGGCTGTTCTCAAAGAGTGGATGCCAAGAGCTCAAAGGGAGAGCGGACACAAGGTGAAGGTGATCCGCACCGACAATGGGGGAGAATTCATTGGCGCTGATTTTGAGGCGGTGCTGAAGAAGAAGGGGATCCAGCATCAGCTTACGGTGCCCTACAACCCTCAGCAGAACGGCGTGGCTGAGCGGTTCAACCGGACCCTGCAGGAAGGTGCTCGCACTCTCCTTGGGCGTGCAGGGCTGCCGGATCCGTTTTGGGTGACTGCACTGCGGCAGGTCGCCCTTGTGAAGAACAGGGTGCTGGCGACTGTGGGGGACAAGCAGTGGGTCCCCTACACCAAGTGGTATGGGAGTGCACCAGCTGTCAACATGCTGAGAGCCTATGGATGCATGGTGGTGTTTCATGTGCCTAAGGAGAAGAGGGGAAAACTGGAAGCTTTTGGGAGATGGGGTGTGCACTTGGGGCTTGCTAAGGATCACAAGGGCTGGTTGATATGGGATTTGACCAGCCAGCAGCTGACTGTGTCAAGGGATGTGAAGTTCCTCGAGTCCTTATACTACAAGGAGTGGAAGCAACAGCAGCAGAAGCTTCCTACTACACAGCTGATCATTGAGGCCGACGAGGTGCAGCGGCCTTCGAGGCAAGTGCAGGTCACTGTCTCAGAGGAGGAGATCTCTGGGGTGACTGAGGATGGGGGAGAACCTGAGGTGGAGGAGCAACAGCAGCAGCAGCAGCAGCAGCAGCCGCAGCAGCAGCAGCAGCAAGGTGCTCCATAAGGTGCCGCACGTCCGGGTGACCGTCCTAGGAGGGATGTGCGCCCTCCTAACCGGCTGACCTATCCGAGCTTTGGCAAGCCAAAGGTGGTAAGGGCTGGGAGTGTGGCTGAGCAGTGTGATGAGGATGAGATAGCACACTGCTACTGGGCAGCCGTTCCTGAGCCCAAGACGCTAGCTCAAGCATTGAGCGGGCCGGATGCTGAAAAATGGAAGCAGAGTGTGAAGGAGGAGTATGACTCTCTGTTGGAGAACGAGACGTGGGAGCTGTGTGAGCTGCCACCTGGGAAGAAGGCCATTTCTTCCAAGCTGATCTTCAGGCATAAGTACGGACCAGATGGGGAGCTGACCCGCTACAAGTCAAGGCTTGTGGCTAAGGGGTTTCAGCAGACAAAGGGGAAGGATTACGATGAGTTCTTTGCTCCTGTGGGGAAAGGCACAACATTGAAAGTGTCACTAGCAATGGCAGCAAACCGTGGATGGCGGATGAAGCATTAGACATTACCACCGCCTTCCTCAATGGGATCATTCTGGAGGAGCTGTACATGTTACAGCCTGAGGGCTTGGATGATGGGAGCGGCAGGGTGTGCAGGCTGAAGAAGGCCATCTATGGCTTGAAGCAGGCTCCCCGTGCATGGTACCACAAGCTAGAGGAGACACTGCTGGCTGGGGGGTTCAAGAAGAGTGAGTGTGACCACAGCCTGTTCCTGCTACAAGAGAAGGAGCAGTTTCTCATGCTCCTGGTGTATGTGGACGACATCCTGCTCTTCTCTGAGTCGTCTGCAATGATTGAGCGTGTGGAGGAGATGCTAGAGATGCAGTTCAAGTGTTCCAAGATGGGAGATGTGAAGTACTACGTGGGGATGCATGTGGAGAGGGACCTTGATAAGGGAGTTTGAGATTGCACCAGAGGAAGTACTGTGAGGGGCTGGCCGAGAAGTGTGGGCTGCAAGATGGAGGAAAGCCAGCCACCCCACTGCCTTCGGGTTTCACTGTAGAGCCCTGTGCTGATGAGGAGGTGGTGGGTGAGAGTGACAGGAAACTTTTTCATTCCATGGTTGGGGCACTCAATTATGCGGCTAACCACACGCGGCCTGACATTGCCTTTGCTACATCCAGGCTTGCAAGTGTGGTTGCACGCCCCAGTCATGAGCAGCTGGAAGCGGCCAAGAGGTTGGTCCGCTATGTGAGCGCTACGGCATCAATGGGCTTGAAGTACAGTGCTGTGCGACAGAGGCTGCAGAGGGGTGCAGCTGATTTGGGCAAGGGGGAGATGCTCCTGACTTGCTACACCGACGCCAGCTTCAACTCGGTGAAAGCGGATGGCACCAGCATCGGGGGCTATGTGCGCCTGTTTGGAGGTGGTGCAGTGAGCTGGCGCAGCAAGAAGCAGAACAAGGTGGGGCAGTCCTCATGTGAGACAGAGTACATGGCCCTGCATCATGGGGCAAAGGAGGTGGTTTGGCTGAGGCGTTTGTTGGAGGAGATCGGAGTGTGCCAGAGGGAGCTGACTGTGATTTTCTGTGACAATGAGTCGGCGGTGAAACTAGCAAAGAATGTTTGTCTTCATGGGCTGACCAAACACATCAGGCCCAAGTGGCACTGGGTGAGGAGGCTCCTGGACAAGGAGGTGCGACTGGAGATTGTGAAGACCCATCAGCAGGCGGCTGACATCCTCACCAAGCGCATGGCTGAATCTGAGCATTGGAAGGGCATGAAACTTGCTGGGATGAGTGTGCATTAAGGGTGCATGCTTGAGCTATGGCATGTGGGATGATGGTAGGCAGCCAGAGGGGGAGTTTGTTGTGTGATGCAATCATATGCATTCACGTCTGTCTGCCTCCCATCATATGTTCGTGCGTTGCATGCGTGGTGTGAGCATGTGCAAGAATTTGTGTTTTGTGTAGTTCGAATTTTCTGAGCGTGTTCAAATTTCATTTGGCTTGAGCAGATATCTGAAGTGACTCCTCTGCTCAAGAGCTTTCCGACGAACCAAGTATCGCTTCAATCGGAGCACAAACAAGAAAGTTACAAAAGTTTGAAGTTCGTATGCTTTTGATATTTGGTTGTGGTGACTATGGGGAGTTGTGGGGTTGACTCCATATGGGGTACAGACTTTTGGGGGTTGGGAAATTCGTCAACATCACTGTAGATGCTGCCAAGTGGTTGGGAGAAACCAAACCAGGTTGGCAAGTGTGGCCAAGTTGGGCAAGGTGGATGGCATGGGTTGGAAAGTGACAAAAGTGAAAGTGGGGTTGCCTATGGAGAAGGGAATTGTGTGGCATGGGGTTTCCTTGGTTGGGGACTCTCTTGGGACTTTCCCTCTCGTCCTCCTCATCCCATCCCACCTGGTTTATTGCCACTCTTACTCTCTTGTGTAGTGATTGTGCAATTATGAGAACTTTGTGATTGAGTTAAGATTCCATGGCAGCATACCTCCTAGTGCGCCGAAATTGATAACTCAGGAAATACTTCACCTTTTCGTAAGATTCAACTTGGAAATTGTAGCCACGGAGTAGAGCTACAACATATCTGAGTTTCAAGAAGTTTTGACAGTGAACCTTTCGTCGACAGCGTTTCTTGTGAACGCGACTTTTCTGTCCAGAATTCTAAGCCAACGATTTTGAGAAATTTAGGCACCTAATCTTCGTAGACTCCGTCCTTAGTCTCTAACAAGAACTAGAGGAGAACAAGACGGCTCTCCTAGATCAGTTAGAAGGTAGGAGAGCCAGCGTAAATCCTGTGCAGCCATGGCCCCTGCGTAGGTCTCAGCCTCACATCTGGAGCTGAGAACAGAAGACGAGCAGGTAGACCGCCACGAAACAGAGCCGGAACCAAGGCCGAAGGTGTAACCCTGTGACGACCGTTGCGTAGCCAAGTCGTCAACCCAAGACGTGTCTGCGTGACCAATGAGTACCACTGAACTCCGCCCTCGAAACACGAGCCCCATGCTCGACGTACTGCACAAGTAGCGCAACACCCTCTTTGCTGCAACCATGTGTTCTGGTCGGTGTCTCCCAGGAGCAACATAGCGTGCCAAGATGCTAAGAGGGTATGCCAGGTCAGGTCGAGTGCAGGTCATCAGGTACATGAGGCAGCCAACAAGCTCTGGGTACGGGCCACTCAGCTCTACGGACTCATCCGAAGGAAGAGCTGAGAGCGAGTGGCGAGTAGACAGAGGAGTGGCCTTAGGCAAGGAGTACGTGAAGTCGAAGCACTGAAGCACCTGCTGCACCATGTGGGACTGAGTCAGGGTAATGGTGCACCGTGCTTTGTCCCGGGTGATCTGCAAGCCAAGATAGCTGCCCAGTTCACCCAAAACTGTGCACGTGTGTCTCTTCTGCAGCTCGGACTTCACGTGGGCGAGTCCAGCGGTGTCATCAATGGCAAAGACCAATTCGTCGACGTACACGAGAATATAGAACGGCGGCAGCGAGGTGTCGGTGCGTAGAAACAGCGACGGGTCAGCAGTAGAAGGAGCAAACCCAAGAGCCGCAAACGTAGTCCTAAGTGTGTCGTGCCACTCATGGGGCGCCTCGCTGAGACCGTAGAATGGCCGCCGGAGGCTCCACTAGGTACCAGGGGGAAACGACCCAGTGAAGCCAGGTGGGCGACGCAGCTAGATCTCCTCGTGCACGCTGCCCTGTAGGAAAGCAGTGCCGAAGTCAAGAGAGTGAAGCACGTAGTCACGCTGAGCAGCTATGTGCAGCAGCACCCAAAGAGTGGTCATCTTCGGGGTGGGAGAGAAGGTCTGAAAGTAGTCAACTCCCTGCCGGTGACTGAAGCCTCAAGCCACGTAACGCGCCTTAAAAACAGGCGGAGAACCCGGTGGCCGCTTCACCTTGAAGATCCACATACCACTGACGATATTCGCCTCGGGTGGGGGAACCTCGTCGACGTAGGTGCCTGTGGACTTGCAAGAAGCCATCTCTGCGTCCATGGATATCTGCCACTCAGAGGAGTACGGACCCTCTATCACCTCCGCATAAGAGTGCGGGGTCGGGATGTCTGGTGCATCCGGGTCTCCCTCAAGGGCAAGCAACATGGACACGAGATGAAATAAAGGAGTCACAAAACGCTGGAACTCCTCTTCCCTGTCCTCAAGGACGTCGGTGCTAAGAGCACACTCACCCCCGACCAACGGAGGACAGACAATCTCAGACTCGGCAACAAGACTAGCGGCGTAGTCTAGACGACAGTGAGCAACAAATTTGACAAGCGCAGCAACTAAGGCAGACGCAGCAGTGGACTCAAAGGAAAGGTCAGTGACAACAGTAGCCAGGAGACGAGTGACAGTAGGACTGGCAGCATAAAGGGAGTCAGACTCCGGGTCAGCAAGGACAGGAAGAGAGGACTCTGGTGGAGACGGCAAAGGGACACGAAGTGGAGCAGTGGAAGGACGTAGTCCCATCTGGTGCGTGCGTGGGACCGCAGGAGGACGCTGACGCGGAACACGACCACTAGTGCGAGCAGCACGAACAGGCGACGTAGGACGAGACGCAGGCTCACGACGCTCAGCAAGACCTCTAGTAGGACCAGTGTAGGGAGAAGGAGCAGGCACTGGGGAGGCGGGCTGTAACTGTGACTCGGACTGGACAGGCAGTGGACACTCTAAGGAGCAGGACCACTAGAGGGCGGAAGACCAAGAACCTGCTGAAGGAGTACGGCCGTGGCCGCGCAGCACCTCCAGGACCAGCAGGGACAGCACTAGCACCCTTAGCGTCAGCTCCAACAGCTCAAGGAGCACTACCAGCTGCTCCAGTAGCGCGAACTCCAGCACCCAAAGGAGTACTAGCTCCAGTAGCACCTCCAGCTCCAGCACCCTCAGCATCTGCAGCTCCAGCAGGACCACCGGAAGGCGAAGCAGCTCCAGCTCCAGTACCTCCAGCAACACCTACTCCAGCAGCACCGCTAGCTCCAGCACCGCTAGCAGCTCCAGCACCAGTAGCACCACCAGGCCCAGCAGCTCCAGTACCTCCACTACGAGCACCCCCGGGACTCGTGGCTCCAGAACCTCCAGTAGCCCCAGCAGCAGAACCTCCAGCTTCGGAAGCACCACCAGCTCCACCAGCACGGCTCCAGTGCTGAGCAAGCCACTCGCGCAGCTCCTGCGGAGAGAGTAGCTCCCGCCGGGACGAAGCACCCGAAGGACCTCCAGGTCCAGCACTTCAAGACTCCACACGAGGAGGCCCAGCACCCTCAGGCTCCGCACCCCCAGACTCAGCAACCCCAGGCTCAGCACCCCTATACTCAGCACCCCCAGGCTCAGTACACCTAGACCCAGCACTCCCAGCTTCCGCACGCTCACGCTCAGCACCCTCAGACCCGGTACCCGCAGGCTCACCACCCCTAGCAGCACCAGAGTCAACAGCTAACTCGACAGGCTCGACTGGGTCTACCTGGGACACACCTGAGGGGGCAGGACCCTGAGGGGGGAGGGGGTCTACCGGGTGGGGGACCTGGCGCGAGGAAGAGTGGTTTGGGGGGAAGGGGAGCAGTGTGGTAGGGGAAGAGACGGTAGTAGGGAACCGACTTGTCAAACGTGAGGTCCTGAGAGGACAGAACACGGTGCGAGGTGGGGTGGTAAAACTGCCAACCAGGCGCGTCAGCGGGGAAGCCAAGGAAGACGCAGGGAACAGCACGGGAGGACACCTTGTCCGCAGACAAGTCGCGGACGAAAGCTCGAGATCCCCAAACACGGAACGCAGACGCATCGCCAACCTTTCCCGTCCACCGCAGAGCAGGGGAGGTCTCCGGCATGGAGACCCGGGGCTGAAGGTTGATCTGATACACCGCGTACTGAACCGCGAACGGCCACGGAAAATGGGGGGCAGCCCCATGATCATGGACGTACGAGCGATGTCCATGACCATGTCAGGCATATATGCTATAGTCTGTGTAGGCTGTAGTGGGGCAGTTCATATGGGTACAACACTTCAGGGTTTACTACTTGTACTCCTTATTCTGCTCAATGCATTCATTCTCGTTTCTTATCATGGTATCGAGCAGGTTCCCTAGTGGGAACGCTACCTAGGGCCCACCACGATATCTTTTTTTTCCTGCCCGTACCGCGCTTCACTCCTGCCCGAGTCGCGCTCTGTGTGCCCTCCCTACATTCGAGCCGCCCTTAGTGGCCCCTCTCACGGCCCCTTTGGCCGCCCTTACGGCCCCTCGCGCCGCCCTTACGGCCCCTCCCGCCGCCCTCCATGGCCCGCCGCGCCGCCCTTACGGCCCCTTACGGCCCCTTAAGGCCCCTCGCGTCGCCCTTACGGCCCTCGCGCGGCCCCTTTCGGCCCCTCGCAGCGCCCTTTCCGGCCCCTTACGGCCCCGTCGCCGCCCCGTTTAGGCCTCTTGCGGCCCCTCTTCGGCCCCGTCTAGGCCCCTTGCGACCCCTCTACGGCCCCGTCTAGGCCCCTTACGGCCCCTCTGCGGCCCCGTCTAGGCCCCTTGCGGCCCCGTCGCCGCCACCTGCGGCCCCGTCGCCGCCACCTGCGGCCCCGTCGCCACCACCTGCAGCCCCGTCAACACCACCTGCGGCCACGCCGCCGCCACCTGCGGCCCCGCCGCCACCAGCGGCCCCGTCGCCGCCACCAGCGGCCCCGTCGCCACCACCTGCGGCCCCATCGCCGCCACTTGCGGCCACACAGCCGCCACCTGCGGCCCCGCCGCCACTTGCGGCCCCATCGTCGCCACCTGCGGCCCCGTCGCCGCCACCCACGGCCCCGTCGCCGTCACCTGCGGCCCCGTTCCCCTCCCATAGCGGCCCTGTCACCGCTCAGCTGCCCAGCGACCGAGCCGCCGAGCAGCCCAGTAGCCGAGCTGCCCACCTGCCGAGCTGTCGAGCCGCCCACCAGCCGAGCCGCCGAGCAGGCGAGCCGCCGAGTAGCCGAGCCGCCCTTCCGCCGAGCCACCCAACAGCTGAGCCGCCCTGCCGCCAAGCCGCCCAGCAGGCGAGCCGCCCTGCCGTCGAGCCGCCGAGCCGCCCTCCTGTCGAGCCGCTACTATTCCTACCGGTGCTCCCCGGCCCTCCTTCCTCGGACTGGTGAGCTTACTCCCTACTAGGCCACTGCAGTCATGGCCACCCCCAGTGTCCTTACTTTTGATGAGGGCCGTGCCATTGAATTCGATGACCTCCAGCTGTTTCTCCATTGCGATACGGCAGACGGACTCTCTTTGTTCGATCTCACCTCTGGTGCCTCTCCTGCCCCGCTTGCTACTGCTGACAGCACTGTTCGCTCACAGTGGGCCACACACGATGCTGTTGCTCGCCTTGTTGTGCGTCGCCACTTACCGACCACTGAGCGTGCACACTTTAGCCAGTACAAGAGTGCTCACACCTTGTACAACGCTGTAGTTGCACGCTACTCTTCCCCTGCCACTGCTGCACTGAGCCGCCTCATGCTACCGTACCTCTTCCCTGACCTTGCTGCCTTTCCCACAGTCGCTGACCTCATTACGCACCTCCGCACTAGTGACACTCGCTACCGCGCTGCGCTTCCTGCTGAGTTCTGCGCCAAGAACCCCCCCCCCCATGTACATCACCCTCTACTTCATAGTCACCCGGCTCCCTGACTCTCTCCGCATAGTCAGGGACCACTTCCTCTCAGTTTGCCCCACCACACTCACCGTTGACCTCCTCGAGAAGGCCCTCCTAGCAGCAGAGAAGAGCATAGTCGTTGTAGGAGCCTCTCGTGGTGACCCTCGCACCCCCGTCTTTGAGGGGTGTTCTCCCTCCCCCCTCTTGCCCTCTGTTGCCTCTGCTGCTGCAGCCGACCTCGCTGGTTTCGAGTCGGTCGGCGCTGCGTCTGCCCCCAGCGGGAGACGCCGCACCAGCAAGGGCAAGGGAGGCAAGGGCGCTGGAGGGGCTGGCGGGGGCGGTGGAGGTGGTGGTGGAGGCAGAGGAGGGGGTGGGGGTGGTGGTGGGAGTGGTGGCGGGGGTGGCGGCTGCGGCGGCATCAGTGGAGGCGGAGGAGGCAGCAGTGGTGGCGGAGGGAGGCGGAGGTGGCGGAGGAGGCGGAGGTGGAGGAGGCGGCGGAGGCGGCGGCGGCGGCGCTGGTGGAGCGGGTCGTGACTCTACACAGAGGAGTGGCTCAGGTGGTGGTCCGCGCCAGCAGCAGCGGAGTGGTGTGACCCTGTCCCCTCAGCAGCTTCGTGAGTGGTACACTGCGCGTCAGCGCAGTGGGGGTACTGGTCCCTGCACTTACGTCCTCCGTACCGGCAACCGAGCAGGTGAGCAGTGCGGGGGCCGGCACTCCACCTAGTGCTGCTTCGGTCGCCTGACGGACGCGTGGCGTCGCCAGTTCCGTGAGGCATCACAGATCCCTCGCTGGGGAGATCTGTCTAGGGCGAGGGTTGCCATCTTTGATCTTGACTATGATGCTATCCTTGCGGCCATGTATTCTGTCACTACTAGTGTTGAGGGTGACTGTTACCTGTGTGTACCGCCTGACCCGGGCATTGAGGCCACTGCTCTAGGTGCTCGTGAGGGTGCTGCTCTAGGTGCTAGTGCGTCTGCTGCCCCAGGTGCCAGTGCGTCTTCTGCCCTAGGTGCTGGTGAGTCTGCTCTCTCAGGTACTACGTCAGCTCGGGCCTTACACACCTTCACCCTTGACTCGGGTGCGTCCCGCTCCTTCTTTCGAGACCGCACCACTCTTACGCCGCTCGGTCTGCCGGTTGCAGTCTCCTTGGCGGACCCCTCTGGGGGTCCTGTCCTTGCTAGCTTCTCCACTATCTTACCGTGCCCGGCAGCCCCCTCTGGCACCCTGTCACGTCTCTACCTCCCCTCGTTCTCTACGAACTTGGTGAGTGGAGCGGACCTACAGGATAGGGGGGTTGACCAGTTCACTCCTGCGAGTCAGCGAGTGACCCACTGCACGTGTGCTCGGACAGGCCGACACTTGGCCACGTTCACCCGTCGGCCAAGGTCGAGCCTGTACACCCTTACTACTGAGTCTCCTTTGGCTGCTGAGTCTGCCCAGGTAGCTGCGTCGAGTCAGGTGTTTGCTACAGCGTCCAGGTCTGGTCCTAAGTCTTCTCCCTGCTCGTGTCGTCTACTGTCCCACCAGACTCTCCTCTGGCACCACCGCCTTGGTCACCCCTCCCTGCCTCGTCTCCGAGGCATGGCCTCCCGTATCCTTGTCTCTGGTCTCCCTCGGTCTCTCCCTCCCCTACCTCCGGGGCCTGGCCCTACCTACGTCCCCTGCGTCGAGGGGCGACAATGCGCCGCCCCACACTCCTCCGAGTTTCCTCCGACAGAGGCTCCGCTACAGACCCTCCACATGGACGTGTGGGGCCTCGCCCGAGTCCGTGGACAAGGGCACGAGCCTTTCTTCCTGTTGGTGGTTGACGACTACTCACGTTACACCACAGTCTTCCCCTTGCGCAGCAAGGGTGACGTCACTGAGGTGTTGATCGACTGGATCCGCGCAGCTCGTCTCCAGCTCTGAGAGAGTTTCGGCTCGGACTTTCTTTTTCTGCGTCTGCACTGTGACAGAGGCGAGGAGTTTTCTCCTCTGCCCGTCTGGGAGCCTTCTATTGTGCACAGGGCATCCGCCAGACCTTCACGATTCCGGCCTCTCCACAGCAAAATGGGATTGCTGAGCGCCGCATTGGCATGGTCATGGACGTCGCTTGTACGTCCATGATGCATGCGGCTGCCCCCCATTTTCTGTGGCCATTTGCGGTTCAGTACGCCGCGCATCAGCTCAACCTTCAGCCCCGGGTCTCCTTGCTAGAGACCTCCCTCGCCTTGTGGTGGACCACGAAGGTTGGCGATGCATCTGCGTTTCGGGTCTGGGGATCTCGGGCGTTTATCCGCGACTTGTCAGCGGACAAGCTGTCCCCCGTGCTGTTCCCTACGTCTTCCTTGGCTTTTCCCCTGACGCGCCTGGGTGGCAGTTTTACCACCCCACCTCGCGCCGTGTTCTGTCCTCCCAGAACGTCACCTTTGACGAGTCGGTGCCTTACTACCGTCTCTTCCCCTACCGCACTGCGCCCCTTCCCCCGCCGCCGCTCTTCCTTGCGCTACGTCCTCCCCTAGTAGACCCACCTCCCCCCTCAGGGTCCTGCCCCGTCAGGTGTGTCCCAGGTAGACGCAGTCAAGCATGTCAAGGTAGCTGTTGACTCTGGTGCTGCTAGATGTGCTACGCCTGCGGGTGCCGGGTCTGGAGGTGCTGAGTCTGGGGGTGCTGAGTCTGGGGGTGCTGAGACTGGGGGTGCTGAGCTTGAGGGTTCTGGGTCTAAGGTGGTGAGCCTGGAGGTGCTGAGCCTGGGGGTGCGGAGCCTGGGGGCGCTGGGTCTTCTCGTGTGGCCGCCGGCGGAGCTTCGTCGAGGCGGGAGCCGCTCTCTCCACAGGAGCTGCGCAAGTGGTTTGCCCACCGCTGGAGACGTGCTGCTGAGACTGGGGGTGCTGCTGGGGCTACTGGAGTTGGTCCTGCTGGAGCTGCTGGCGGTGCTGGTGCTGCTGGAGCTGGAGCTGCTGGGGGTGTTGGCGCTGGTGTTTCTACTCGCGCTGGTGCGTCTGGGGGTGCTGCTAAGGCTGCTGGTGCTGACGGTCCTTCTAGAGTTGGTGCTGCTGGAGCTGGAGCTGCTGGGGGTGTTGGCGCTGGTGGTGCTACTGGCGCTGGTGCTTCTGAGGGTGCTGGAGTTTGCGCTGTTAGAGCTGAAGGTGCTGCTGGCGCTGGTGCTGCCGCTTGGGGCACTGGTGCTGTCCTTGCTTGTTCTGGAGGCGCTGCGTGGCCAAGGCCGTACTTCGTTCCGCTCCTGGAGCACGTTCCTGGTCTCCCGCCCTCTCCTGGTCCTGCTCCTCCCTTAGAGTGTCCACATCCTATCCAGTCGCAGTCACAATTACAACCCGCCTCCCCTCAACCTGCTCCTTCTCCCTACACTGGTCCTACTGGAGGTCTTGCTGAGCATCGTGAGCCTGCGTCTCGTCCTGCGTCGCCTGTTCGTGCTGCTCGCACTAGTGGTCGTTTTGCGCGTCCGCATCCTCCTACGGTTCCCAGCACACACCAGATGGCGTTGCGTCCTTCCACTACTCCTCTGCGTGTCCCGTTGCTGTCTCCTCCAGAGTCCTCTCTTCCTACTCTTGCGGACCCGGAGTCTGACTCTCTTCGTGCTACCAGTCCTACTGTCACGCGTCTCCTGGCTACTGTTGTCACTGACCCTTCCTTTTAGTCCACTATTGCGTCTGCCCTAGTTGCTGAAATTGTCGACTTCGCTGCTCGCTGTCGTCTAGACTACGCTGCCAGTCTCGTTGCTGAGTCTGAGTCTGTCTGTCCTCCGTACGTCGGGGGTGAATGTGCTCTTAGCACGGACGTCCTTGAGGACGGGCAGGAGGAGTTCCAGTGCTTTGCTGCTGCTTTGCCCCAACTCGTGTCCACGCTGATTGCCTTTTGAGGGAGACCCGGATGCACCAGACATCCCGACTCCTCGATCGTACGCTGAGGCGATCAAGGGTCCCTACTCCTCTCAGCCGCAGTCAGCCATGGACGCAGAGATGGCTTCCTAGAAGTCCACAGGCACCTACGTCGACGAGGTTCCCCCACCTGGGGCGAACATCGTCAGTGGCATGTGGATTTTCAGGGTGAAGCGGCCGTCGGGTTCTCCGCTTGTCTTCAAGGCGCGTTTCGTGGCTCGAGGCTTCAGTCAGCGGCAGGGAGTTGACTACTTTCAGACCTTCTCTCCCACCCCGAAGATAACCACTCTTCGGGTGCTGCTGCACATAGCCGCTCAAAACGACTACGAGCTTCACTCTCTTGACTTCAGCACTGCTTTCCTGGAGGGCCGCCTGCACGAGGAGATGTGGCTACGCCGCCCACCTGGCTTTACTGGGTTGTTTCCCCCTGGTACTGAGTGGAGCCTCCGGCGGGCAGTCTACGGTCTCCGCCAGGCGCCACGTGAGTGGCACGACACACTGAGGACTACACTTGCGGCTCTTGGGTTTGCTCCTTCTACAGCTGTCCCGTCGCTGTTTCTGCGCACCGACACCTCTTTGCCGCCGTTCTACATCCTCGTGTACATCGACGACTTGGACGACGCTGCAGCTGCACCTGGCCACTACCAGAAGCTCCCGAACTACCCACTCCAGGGCGACTCCCACTACGGCCACCCCGACAACCCCAACTAGCGTACCACTCACGAAACTGCTG